CCCTAAGGTTCCATGAAGAGGTTTAGAGGAATCAGAAACTATACTTAAGATTCTCCCCAAAATCTCATTCACCTATAGGCTTTGACTTGTTTGAAGGAGTGTGGCGGTTAAAAAAAAAAAATCAAAGATGACAATTCACACCAAGAAACAAATGACAGCACACAAAAAACTCACAGCTGTGTTCAAATGGGAATGCCAATACTGTTTTAAGAGGAAGGAGGATGAAGGCAACAAACCAACGTCTGCCTGCCTGCTGTCTGGTACATCACCAAGGTGACAGCAGCTGGGTACAGATCAACTGCTCCTTCTCTTTTGCTAGCCACAAAGCTGCATACTGTGCCTAGCCTGAGCTGGTCAGAACACATTCATGTGTGCTGAATATACACTAAACACTAAAAAACAAATGTGCACACATCTCCAGGAGCCCCATGCAAAGAAAAAACACTTCCAAAGAGAGATCAGTCCCAAGAGCTCAATAATTCCAGATTTTTCCAAAACATACCCTGCTACCTCCCAAATTGCCAACTGCTTTTTAAAATTTTACTGCAAAAGGGAAATCATGACAAGAATTCATAGGGTGGGGAAGAAAAAGCTACTTTTCCCAGTCATTAGTACAATGTGCCTTGTTAATTAGGTATCTTTATATAAATTAGAAAAAGTACTTGCATGTTCCCATAAAATGAGTTCTGAGTACAGCAGCATCATGTTAGATTTGTTCAGATATAAATTTTTACAGCTATATAAAAGAGCCTATGTATACTTGGCTGATGATTTTTTCATTAGAAAAATAAAGATTGGTCGGGCGCAGTGGCTCACGCCTGTAATCCCAGCACTCTGGGAGGCTGAGTGGATCAGGAGGTCAGGAGTTCGAGAGCAGCCTGAGCAACATGGTGAAACCCCATCTCTACTAAAAATACCAAAAAAAAATTAGCTGGACCTAGTGGCGCACACCTGTAATCCCAGCTACTCAGGAGGCTGAGGCAGGAGAATCATTTGAACCTGGGAGGCAGAGGTTGCAGGGAGCCGAGATCATGCCTCTGCCCTCCAGTCTGGATGACAGAACAAGACTCCATCTCAAAAAAAAAAGAAGAAAAAGAAAGATTACATGTGATTTGTATGTAACTGATTGTTATGCCAATAGTTTTGGTCTTTAACATACTTCTTATTCATTAGGAGCAGATGGGGGTACTCAAGATCTCATATTAGGACTTTCTGTTCTGAATTTTGATTGAGCAAAACCTGGAAAATGTGAAAGCATATTTAGATTTTATATATTCTCTGAAATGTGATTTCCCAAGATTCTTAAATTTGACCCTCTTGCAATAATTTTGAATGAGAACTCCCAACTCACTTCAGAGAATATTTTTCACAGATATCTTGAGGCCTTCATTAGAAAGTTATTTTCCCCCTGATGGTACATTTGGTTACCTCATTTTGCTGTTTGTTTCAGATTCTGAAAGCTCACAAGGATGTCTTATGGAATCATTTGCTGAGTCATTTCCTCAAATCATATTCCATTATATCAGTTAACATATATGTACATACTACAAATATCTGTAACCAAATCATCTGAAGGCTTCATGCATTTTTAACGAAGTTTGTCCATTTTTAATTAAAGTTACAAGTAATGCTTTACTAAGCAGTGCAATGAATTTTTTATTTTCAATCCTTGTGCCCAATTTTTGAGTTGAGGGGTTTGTTAGTAATAAATGTATGATGTATTTTTTAAAAAACTGTATTCCCTTAGTTGTTGATTCCTTCAGTAAGTGTTTCTCAAAGGCCTATGATGTATGAGGTACCCTGCTAGGTCCTGGAATTAATCAGCAAATGAGACATCCATACTGCCTAACTAAACACAAAACTCACATCTGGAATTATACAACTACTTTCAAAATCAAGTATTTCATTAAAGTGTGGTAAGCAGTGCAAGAGAGAAAAAGAAGATATTAGAAGAGCATATACCCAGGGCATGACCTGATCTGAAATTCAAGGAAGGCTGCTCTGAGAATGTGTTGTAGAAGTTGAGAGCCACAGAAGGATGAGTTAAAGCTAGCGAGGCAAAAATACGAAGAACATTACAAACCTACAGAACAAGAAATGCAAAGGCCCTCAGGTGAAAAGGAGAATGGCACTCTCAAGGAACAAAGACAAATCAAAGAAAGCCAGGTGCTGGAGCACGGGTGATGAGACAGTGGAGAAAGGAGAAGACCGAGAAGGTTGCCAAAGTTTGGGAGCTCAAGGTGGGAGAGAGGAAATGGTTGGCTATTAAATTTGCAGATAATTTAAGTTGTATGACTTGTCACCAAATAACAAATCCAACTATACAAAATACTATAAAGACTCTATAAAGGGCTCCTTTTGACACCTTCCCTTTGCACCAATCTCATTTTAGAGGTAAGTACTATGAACAGCTTCTGCAAGGAGCTTTTATTTTTTTTGAGACAAAGTCTTGCTCTGTCACCAGGTGGGAGCTGGGAGCTTCTAATGGCCATCAATGAAAAAAGAATCAGGGCCAGGCACAGTGGCTTATGCCTGTAATCCCATCACTTTGGTAGGCTGAGGCGGGTGGATCACCTGAGGTTAGGAGTTTGAGAACAGCCTAGCCAACACAGTGGAACCCCATCTCTACTAAAAATACAAAAAATTAGCTGGGCTTGGTGGTGGATGCCTGTAATCTCAGCTACTTGGGAGGCTGAAGCAGGAGAATCTCTTTAACCTAGGAGGTGGCGGTTTCGGTGAGCTGAGATCACGCATTGCAACTCCAGCCTAGGCAACAAGAGCGAAACTCTATCACAGAAAACTAAAAAAAAAAAGAAAAAAAAAGGAATCAAACACACGCAGGCTACCAGCCCAGGATAGCTATGAATAATTTCGGCATAACCTTGGACCACTCTCGGAAGTAAATAATCATCTTATGAAGCTGAAACTTCAAACTTGCCCCACATGCAGCTATGTGGGAACCGTAAGTTAAGAAATTATCATAAAAACCTTCACAGAGAAACTTTACTGAAAGATATTAAGATCTAAATAAACAGAGGGATGTTCAAGGACTGAAAGATTCAATATTATAAAGTTGTTAGGTCTCCCTAAGTTGATCTATATATCCAGTGAAATTTCAATTCAGAATCCCAGCAGCTTTTTAAAATATGGAAATTAACAAGCCAAAATCTAAAATTATGTAGAAGAGAAAAAAGCCAGAAATAGCCAAAACACTCTTGAAGAACAAGATGAGAAAACTTATTCTATCAGATATCAAGACTTAACATTAAGACAGGATGGCATTGGCAAAGGATAGCAAATTGCCTAATGGAACAGAAGGGAGAGTTCAGAAATAGATTCGTGGATATATGGTCAAAATGACACTACCTTAGCTGGGCAAGGTAGCACGTGCACCTGTAATCCCAGCTACTGGGGAGGCTAAGATGGGAGGATCGCTTGAATCCAAGAGTTTGAGGCTGCAGTGAGCTATGATTGCACCATTGTACTCTAGCCTGGGGCAGAACTAGGCCCTGTCTCTAAAAAAAGACACTGTGTATGTAAGGGGGGGGAACTTGATAAATTTGACTTTATTAAAATTTGGAATTTCTGTAAGTCAAAAGATACCATTGAGAGGCTGGGCATGGTGGCTCACGCCTGTAATCCCAGCTCTTTGGGAGGCTAAGGTGAGCAGATTGCTTGAGTTCAGGAGTTCAGGACCAGCCTGGCCAACATGGTGAAACCCCATCTCTACTAAAAATACAAAAATTAGCTGGGTGAGGTGGTGTGTGGCTATAGTTCCAGCTACTCACCAGCTGAGGCAGGAGAATCACTTGAACCTGGGAGGTGGAGGCTGCAGTGAGCCAAGATCACCCCACTGCACTCCAGCCTGGGCAATAGTGTGAGACTCCATCTCAAAAAAATATATATATATATTATTAAGATGGTAGAGAGGCAAACCACAAACTGGGAGAAGATATTTATAATACCTGTATCAGACAAAGAACTCATATCCAAAATACATAAAGGACTCCTATAAATTAAAGAAAAAACCAGATAACCCAATTTGTTAAAAATGTACAAAAGACTTGAACAGACATTTCACAAGACAGGATATCCAAATGCCCGAAATACATTTGAAAAAGTGCTGCTCAATGACAACAGGGAAATGCAAAGTAAAACTACAATGGAATAACACCACACACCCAATAGAATTGCTTAAATTAATACTATTGTCAATATCATGTGTTGTCAATATTAGGATATGGAACAACCAGAACTTTCATCTCTGTCTCCATGAGCAGTTCTATTCTCAGACATATATCCAATAGAAATACATATATACATACATCAAAAGACATGTACAAAGCTAGCAGGATGATTAGTAATACCCTAAAATTGAGAATGACCCGAATTTACAACAGTAATAGAAAGGATAAATACAGTAATAAAAATAAAACTGCAGTCACATACATAACATGACTTAATCTCACAAACATAATGTTTAGGAAAAGATGCCAGAAACAAACAAACAAACACTGCATTTATTTATTTATTTATTTATTTATTTATTTATTATGATTTCGAGACGGAGTCTTGCTCTGTCACCAGGCTGGAGTGCAGTGGGCGATCTCCACCTACCAGGTTCAAGCTATCCTCCTGCCTCAGCCTCCCGAGTAGCTGGGACTACAGGTGTGCACCACCATGCTCAGCTAATTTTTGTATTTTTAGTAGAGATGGGGTTTCACCATGTTGGCCAGATGGTCTCGATCTCTTGACCTTGTGATCCACCCGCCTCAGCCTCCCAAAGTGCTGGGATTACAGGGATGAGCCACCGTGCCCAGCCCACATTGCATTTTTATATGATTTATATAAAGTCCAAAAGAAGGTAATGGTGTTAAAAACCAATTAAGGGGGTTTGGACGAGTCCATGGGGTTCTGGGAACTTTGAGAAGTGCAGAGCCATCCCTGCCCCAGAACTTTCCACAGACCCTTTGCGATCTGCAATCCAGGAGTGAAGCAACATGGATGCAGCCAGCCAAGGCCCCATGGAAGTTGTGCTTCTCAAGCACACCCTGGATGTCTGGGTCACTGTCTTCAGCATCCTGGCCATCATCATCATGACCTCCTCATTGCTATGCCCAGGCACGGCAGTCATCATCTATCTCATGCAGACCCATTGGGTCCTCAGTGGGGCTGTCTACCAGCCTCCCAAGAGGGCCAGATGAGGGATGAGGACAGGAGTCCCTTCCCCCAGCCTCTTCCCTGTGCTCAGAAAAGCAGTGGGAAGGACTGTGGAGTATGGACCTGAGTTCTGGTTTTGATTCTGCTGCTGGCCAGCTGTGTGAATTTGGTGGAGGAACCTAACTCCAGGTTCCCTGTCTTTCAAATGGAGATGATCCCTACCCTTCCTAACTCATCCCTTCCTATCTCGGAGAGTTGTGAGAACCACATGACTTCCTGGAAGTGAAAGCTGTTTGTGAGCAGTAAAGCTTCCACAGATATACAGGTGTTATGGTGGGTGCTGAGAAGCTTTGAAGAACTAGGGAATCTAATTGCTGATGATGCCTTAAAGGTAGTGAGGGAGACATTGAGAGCAGAACAGACTTTGCCAGTGCCTGTCAGGTCAAACCAAGCAAAGGGCACCCTGTCATGAATCCAAGGGGTCAGCAGCACATTGACTCAAAGTTATTTTCTTTTTTTTTTTTTCTTTTTGAGACAGAGTCTTGCTCTGTCACCCAGCCTGTAGTACAGTGGCAGAATCTCAGCTCACAGCAACCTCTGCCTCCTGGGTTAAAGGGATTCTCCTGCCTCAGCCTCCTGAGTAGCTGGAATTACAGGCACACACCACCATGCCCAGCTAATTTTTATATTTTTAGTAGAGACAGGGTTTCACCATGTTGGCCAGGATGGTCTCGATCTCCTGATCTTGTGATCCGCCAGCCTCAGCCTCCCAAATTGCTGGAATTACAGGTGTGATCCACGGTGTCTAGCCAAAGTTACTTTCTTTAAAGTGCTACTTCTTCATGTTTTCTTCGTTGGGAGGGAACTGAGTATAGCTGGTGATAGCTGGCAGGAGAGAGGTAGGAGGGAGAAAGGGGTTGGGAGGGGGTTGTAGGGAGAACTTTCCAGAACCTTCTCTGTGGAATCTCTGTACCTATATAATCTGGAAGTGAGCTTTGCCATCTTTGGGCAATGCCAAGGGAGTTGGGATGATGGGCATCTTTTCACACTGGAGTCTCTGTCTCTATTAGCTTTGACACTCAAGCAGTGCTGGAAAATACAGGGTGACTGAATTTCCTGCCCAACTTTCAGAATCTCCAGCCCCCATCCCCTTATGTGCCCCACCCTAGAGGAGCCTTTTCCCTCTGCCCAGCTCCTGTTATAATTATCTCCATGTGTACCCCCTTCATTCCCTCCCACCAGCACTGCAGCCAATATAAGGTACTTATATTTTAAGAGATATACCCAGGACTTTTGGAATCAATCCAAAATAATGATGGCTATTTTAGATGCTATGATTATTATTTGTATAGAGCTATTTCTGGACACTCAAGCTTTTTGATACCAAAATCAGGAACATCCTGGGTTTTATTTAATTATGTAAGAAGATAGCACAGATATCAGGATATTATTTTGTGAAAACGATGCTTTTACTTTGATCTGATTTTTCATTGATGTACACAACTAATCTCCAATAAAGTGTTAGAATGTGCTAAAAAAAATTAACTTTGAGGAGAGGGAGGAGTAGTTATTAGGAATAGGCACAAGGGGGAATTTCTAGGGTGCAAGTAATGTGCTATTTCTTGACTAGGGTAGCAGTACACTTACTGTAGGCTTTTCTATGTATGCTATAGTAGAACTAAAGGGTAATAGATAAAGAAGGGGAAAAAAGGCAAGAAAGAAAGAGAGACGAACCAGCAAAACACCAGGAAAAACCAAAACCAAAACACCTCTGTTGTGAGATATTTGCAACTCATAACACACATGACTCCAAAAAAACATGAAATGAAAAACCAATGCTCACTAATCTCCCAATAAAATTATAATCACCCACAGAAACAAATCTTCAACTGGGATTTCATTAAATGCACAGATCATCTTAAAGATAATTGGAGTCTTTACGACGATAGATAACTTATTAAGTATTTACTATGTGCCTGGCACTGGGCTGAGTGTTCTAAACAGGTCATTTTCTTTAATTCTCATACTTGACACTGAGTTAACTGATAATATTACTTTCATTTTACAAGCAAGGAAGCTAGACCTTAGAGGAGTAAAGCCACTTCCCTGAGATGATCGAGGAGGGAATGAGTAGAAATGGCATTCAAACTCAAGTTTTAGGGTCCTAGCTGCCACGTTAAACTTTCTGTGCAGAAACAGGGAATATATTTTCATGGACTTGGGTGTTCTTTTTTCCATCTTTCCCCAGCATTTTAGAATGTTTTTTTAATGTGAATTTACATATTTTTATTGTTTCTGATATTTTATCATTTTTGATGCTATTATGAATAAGATCTCTTTTCCTTTACATTTTCTAATTGGTTACTGCTGGTGATTAGGAGACCTACTGATTTTTAAACATCTTATGTCTGACTACTTTCTTCTTTGTTTTTCAGTTAATTCTCTCAGATATTCCAGGTAGTCAAGGTGAAGTATGTAAACAATGACAGCTTCCTCTGTTTATTTCCCTCCGACTACCTCATTTGCCAATATTTGTGCATTTTATGGCATGGGGAAAGGTTCATAATGTACTGCCGGGTGGGGAGGGACCTTTAATACATTCCAAGCAGAGAACACTATGTTTGAGCACGAGGTTATGAAGCAGCTTGACAGATTCCAGAAACTGGGAGTAGTTTGACAGGACTGTAAAGTAGGACACAAATGAGGGAAGCAAAAGATGGTAACTTGAAAGAGAAGACAGTGGATCTTGAAGGATGACAAACCATGAAGACTTCAAGCAGAGATGCAGCATGGTAAGATTCACATTTAAGAAAACATGCCAGTGTCAGCAGCTCAGAGGACTGACTGAAGAAGGTGGTGCTGAAGAAAGGGAGAAAGGTTAGGAGGCTGCAGTAATGAGACAAACAAGTGACAAGCCATCCATGGAGTAACCAAGAAGGGGCATGGATCTGGGAGGAAGGAATTCCTACTCATTCAACCTCTGTATAGCTGTGGGTTTTTTTGTTTTTGTTTTTGTTTTTTTTGAGAAGGAGTCTTGTTCTGTCCCCCAGGCTGCAGTGCAGTGGTCCCATCTCAGCTCACTGCAACCTCCACCTCCCATGTTCAAGTGATTCTCCTGCCTCAGCCTCCCAAGTAGCTGGAACTACAGGTGTGCACAACCATGCCCGGCTAATTTTTTGTATTTACTAAGTAGAGACAGGGTTTCACCAAGTTGGCCAGGCTGATCTTGAACTTCTGACCTCAAGTGATTCGCCTGTCTCAATCTCCCAAAGTTCTAGGAATACAGACATGAGCCACCACGCCAGGCCCTGCTTGTGATTTTGAACCAGTTACATAACGCCCCCAAGCTTCAATTTTTGTAATCTGTAAAATTAAAATAATCACCAACCAGCATGACTATGAAGCTTAAGTGGGATAATTTGTGTGCAGTGCACTCAAAATCAGTAGTTGTTCACTACTGAGCCTGACATTGACAGTGAGAATGAAATTGAGATCATAAATTTTAGGAAGGCAAGTTCGTCCAAGTGACATGCCAGAGTTAGCACTTCCTCTTCTGAATTATGAGGGAAGGTGAATCTTGGCATTACCCCCTTTCATCCACACATGACATTCCACCTCTCCTGTGTTCTCTGCTTTCTCTTCTCCCTGTCCACACCTTCCCAACAAGCCCATCACTAAGACTGCTCTGGGTGTTGGATTTGAATATAACATGGCCCACAAATCATTATGACAACTCAACACAAAAAACCACAAACAACCCGATTTTTTTAATGGCCCAAGGGCTTGAATAGATATGTTTCCAAAGAACATGCACAAATGGCCAATAAGCACATAGGAAGAGGCTCATCATTAGTCACTCAGGAGATGTAAATTGAAACCACAGTGAAGCACCACAAGGATGGCTATCAAAAAAAAAAAAAACCAAAGTGTTGGGGAGGATTGGAGAAACTGGAACTCTCATACACTATGGGAAGGTAAAGTCATTCGGCCACTGTAGAAGATAGTTTGGTGTTACTCAACATATTAAACATAGAATTACCATATGACTTAGCAATTTCCCTCCTAGGTATAGTATCAAAAGAATTAAAAACCTGTGTTCAAACAAGTATATATACTGTATACCCATGTACACAGCAGCACTGTTCACAATAACTAATAGGGAGATACAGTTCAATTGTCTGCCAGTGAATAAATAAATAAACCAGATTTGGTGTATACATACAATGGAATATTATTCAGCCATAAAAAGGAATGAAGTACTGATACATGGTACAACATGGATGAACCTCAGAAGCATTATGCTAAGTGAAAAAAGCAAAACACAAAATGTTACCTATTGTATAATGCCATTTATATTAAGTATCCAGCAGAAGTAAGAACACAGTTTTGTAGATATGAAGCACAGAGGGAGACAGGGGATGGGAAACAACTACTTAATAGGTATGGGGCTCCTTTTGGAGTGATGAGTATGTTATGGAACTAAATAGAGGTGATGGCTGCACAGATTATGAATGCACTCAATGCCACTGAAATGTTCACTGTAAAATGATTAATTGCATATGATTTCACTTTTACCTAAATAACTTTTAAAAAATTATGATGAAAACCTTTTCACAGAAAGTGGATACGATCAGCTGCTAGAGTTCAGATATACCTACCTCAAGCCACCAATGAATAGAAGGTAGTTTGCATTAAACCACTATAGTACCCACTCCAGTCAGAGTTTTTAATGTCCAGGTAGTCTGTTTTACTTAATAACACCAGTAACCCCAGTTAGGGGCAGTGCAATCTCTTGCTGATGTCAATCCCTTAAACTAGTTGAAAATTGTTCTGGAGCCCTTATTTTTCCTCCATTATCATGCCTTCCCACAGTCCCTCTAAAACTCCTAGCCATAGCCTGACTCCAGGGGCCTTTTGGAGGCAAGTTTTCACCCTCAGAGTTGCTGAATTTTCCTTGACTGCAATGTCTCTTTGAAAGTTCTCACATACTATTATATGAAAATATTGTCTTTCCACGTCTTGACTGTAAGCTCCATGAGGTCAG